AGCACCGGCCCCTCCCTGGGCACAGCCCCCAGCCCCCGGCCCGAGCCGTGCCCCGGTCCCGCCGTGTCCCCACCCAGAGCTCCGGGGCACGGCCCAGACCCCGCTCCAGCAGCTTTGGCCTCTGCCCTGGGCCATCCCGGCAGTGTCCCCATGTACCCAGCTCCTCCTGAGCCCCCGGCGGGCACTGACCGCTGCCCGGGCTGGCTCTCCAGCCCGCGATGAAGCACGTTCTGAGCTCGGGCACTGCCAGGGAGCTGTCGGGCACGCAGCCCAGCTGGATGTAGTCGCTGCACTCCACGGGCTGGTCCAGCTGCAGCAGGGCGATGTTGTTGCACTCCGAGTCGGCGTCGTAGTTCTGGTGCATCAGGACCCTCAGGATGCGGCGCAGCTTGTACTCAGGGCCCGGCTTAGCCAGGTCGGTGGCTCCGATCGCCACTTCCCACCTGGAGGTGTCCCTGAGGAGGAGACGGAGAAAGGATGGATGGAGCAGAGCCGCGGGATGCGGCAGCGCAATTCCCTCCCTGTGCTGGGGGGACATCCCTGAACCCCGAGTGGGGACATCCCTGAACCCCGAGTGGGGACATCCCTGACCCTCGAGTGGGGACATCATGGTCCCTGCTGTGGGGACATCCCTGTCCCATTTTTGGTGACATCCCTGTCCCTGCTCCTCCTTACTCAGCCTCGATGAAGCAGCGGGCGACCGTGAGCACCCACTGGGGGTGGATGAGGGCCCCCGAGCACATGTGCCACGTGCCGTTCTCCAGGTTGGCCTGGATGCTGACGATGCCGGGCCAGGTCCCCGAGGGGACACCGGGGCCGTCCACGAGAAGGGAAAGGCCGTCAGAAGATCCCAAAGTCGTGTCCTCATCCTCTGAATCGCACTCGGGAACCGCGGAGCTGTGGTCGAAGGCCATGGGCCGGAGCCCGCAGGTCCCTCTGGAAGCACAAAGCCATCGGTGCCCTGCTTGGGGACAGCGGGGACAGCGGGGACAGGGAGCCCCGAGGGGCTCATCCGTGCCACGACAGCCCCGAGTGTCCC